TCAGTTAGCAGGCAGGATTGAAGTTAAATAAGGTGAGCAATAAGTCTAAAGATCATATATAGGTCGGTTAAAACAATCAGAACCCGGAAATCATGCTAGAAACATAATTAAGGAAAATAGTTCCAATTATGAGTCACAAATAAGGAAAGAATAAGTAAAATCGTCAAAGAGATATCGGTTTTAAAAGAAAACATAATTCCAAGCCCTAATTAGGCGAATAAAAATCAATTAATCCTTTTTAATTGTCGGAGCCAAAGAATAACGGGCAAATATCAGAACAAACAGTGGAATAGCTAGAAGCCTTAGGGATTAAAACATAGATATGAGAAACCAGTTGAACAAGTAAAGAGAACCGGAGTTAAACGCTTTAATATTTTTAGATTTTTTGCAGAAACTTAAAGATGAAACCCTAGCTTTTAGAAAAAAATGAATATCGGCCAATAATGATGGTAAAGACAGAAGAAAAGTATCAAATAAACTCAAAATCCCTTCAGATCTATAGAAATCTGAACGGACTCAAGTAAAAAGTAACTAGGGTTTTTTTTTTTAAAAATAGACAGAGGTGAGAAAAATTCTATTTGAACCAGAGATTTGAAGGCATAAACATGAAGATAAAATTACTCACAAACATACAGATGAACACATGCGGATTCATCGAGAAAATGAAGGATTTGAACCAAGTTTGTTCAAATCCTTTTGGGATTCCATCAAATAGTCATGGAAGTCGAACAACCAGTGAAGATAAGAGGCCGGTTGGGGCCTGAAATCACAGGGAAACCTCATGGAACGGAGGGTTTCCGGTGACGGCGGCAAGGGTTTGAGATAGTTTCAGAGAGAACAGAGAAGAAGAGGGAAACAGGGGCGGCGGGTTTAGACAAATGACTAGGGTTAGGGGGTAATTGGTGTAATTAAAAAAGGCAATTGATCCTGGATCATTGATCTTTTGAGATCAACGGCTAGGATTCGATCTGAGGGTTAGGCGGGTTAAAAAAATGGGTCAGGGTATTTGGGCTATAAATTTAATTGGGCTGGGGGTAAAATTTGGACTAGGTCCGAAATTAAAACAAAACTAAAAGAGGCTATTTGTTCAATATCCAATTAATTTGATAAATAATTTATAAAATAGCTAATAAATGCCAAAAATGCTATTTATGTATAAAAATGATTTAAATAATTACCTGATATTATAAAAATACAAAATATCATTTTCTTGTAAAATAAAGTAATTATGCACACATGGGCTATTATTGCAAAATATGCAATTATGGTCTTAAAAATGCGAATGTAATTGTAAAAATACAATTAAAATATTTGAACACATCTGGTAGAAACAGTGTAAGCCAATAGCCTGCGTAACATATAACATATTAATTAAGGAAGGATGTTAAGAAAATCTAACATGATAAGTAAGTATATCAATAGATACCATTGTCTCATACCTCCTGGCATATGGAACGTACCGACCACCCCCCCCCCCCCCCGATGAACGGGATTACCGATAAGAGTGCGAGCAATATGATGATACCAAGCCATGTACTCATGCTCCCCATAACCACGGTCATGTGGAGGTTAAGGCTGAATCAGGCCCAAACTCTAATCCCAGTTCTCTATCTAGGACTCTAGCCAGGCCAAGTATGCATGGTCAATCCTACTGCGATCATCCCGCTCGTAATGTGTGGAATGCCAACTGGGAGGAGTAGGTATAAGCTGTCGGCGACCAAACTATCTCAGGATTCGTCCGATCGCATGATGCTCGACTATATCGATACATATCAGTGGGACCTCAAACATCCACACAACACGACCGCATGAGCAATAATCTGGCAACCCGGCAATGAGCTCATCGTTGTATGGCCTCCATATGAACAATTTATTAAACGCAACAGTAGTGATTAAACGCAAGACAGATCAAGCATTATCAAACAAACTTAGTCAAATATTTACCTAAGCATCTTCAAGTAGATCCAACATATCCCTATAATAAGGGAGATGTTGTCGAGCCTCGACCTCGCGGGCGCGGACCCGCCTATCTATCCACCTCCTAACACGTGGTAGAAACGGCGGAGATGGTGCATTTGGAGCTATCGGTCGGGGAGGGGACTGCATATGCAAGAACCGCTCCCAAGCCCATAATATTGATTGTGGACATAAATTTGAGTAATTTTTACTTTCTCTATGATAATCGTGAAAAGAATTAATAATGTTATAACCTACAGCTGATGCAAGAATTGCAGACTAACAAGGTTTCTCGAAGTGTTAGGGAAAAGAATACCACCAAACATCATCAATATTAACAGCCTCAACTGTCGCTCAATAGCCTCAAGTGGTGATTCATCCGTGATCTCCTCATGCAGTGCCTCTAGATGCTATCTAACAGGCGATAGCTGCAATCGACTAACACCATTGATAGCAGTCGGCTCTGCTAGCTGGAATCTAGTAAGCCTCTGAAACATCTGTAGATAGTCGAGCCTCCTATAATCTCTAAGAGCGGGCGGGTAATGGACAACCAAACCATCAACGAGCAACCCGAATAATACCTCAACGTCCTGTAGCGTGATGGTCGCCTCGCCGATAGGAAGATGAAATGTGTGAGTCTCAGGTCTCCACGCTCGATCAGAACTGTGATCATGGGCCAGTGGAACTGCAACCAGCCGACCTCTACAATCCGGTAAAAACCAGTCCACTAAAGGCACACAACTGTACGAGGATGAAGTGGGTGGTCCCTAATGAACTCTAAAAAAAATTCAATACGTCTGGGGTGGAAGGTCTAGGACAACAACTGTCCATCCCAGATGTGTGAAGACCTAAGGCCCCCCGGAGCAAAAGTAGCTCTCAAACAGTAGGTCCAGGATGCACAGACCGACGATCCATGACGATGTCTGTACATTGAATAATACTAATTAAAATATTATTCTCTTTAATCATTTAGCGTCTTGAAATATATTACGATCTTTTTTATACTAATATTTAGTTGATAAATTTTAATATTATTACTTAATTTGATATAAATTATTTATCTATATGTTATTTTTTTGGATTTTACGACTAAAATTCGGCAGAGCTTATTTTGTACTGTCAACTTTTTTCTATTTATTCATTGTTATAAGAAAATTAAATATTTAATTCGTTTAACTTATCAAGATATTTTTAATAATTATATTTATAATTATTACTATTAAATATTTATCGCGAGTAATGATTTATATCTTTATTTTTTACTTTTAACCCAAGAAAAACGACACGGTCTCTTTTATGTAATGTCAATTTTTTAATAATCTTATCTTGTCATTAAGATAATTCTAAATACTTAATTTGTTTAACTAATTTATATCATTTTTAAAAAATTATTATTGAGTATTTATTTCGTTCTTAACTATTTGTATGTTAATTTATTATATTTTACACATAAACTCTACAGCGTCTCTTTTATATTAACAACTAATTATTTTTAGATTCATATCTAATAATACATTTACTATACATTTAATAATTGATTAATATTTGATCCATACTTGATTACTCTAACTGGGTACGTTAATGAGGACACGTATCTATTGTTCTACTAAAGAATACTAAAGAGCACTAAAAACACACTACTCTAAATGGCAATAACATCAATTAACATAAATTATAAAATTTATTTACAGTTTTACTACACTAAAGGCCACTAAATAACACTAAAGTCACATATTATTGTTGTACAATTATAAAAATAATCAACAAGTAACATAAATTATTCAACAACTATATAACAAAGGTATAATAAAAAAAAATCATCAAAATTTCTAAATATTAAACTAATTCGGATAAATTAAAAATAAAAAATCACAAAATGAGCACAAAATTATAAAGTACATTACTAACAACTAATTACACAAATATATATATCACTTATACTAAAAAGGTCTTTCGAAATACCTCTTTTTGAATTTTTTAAATGGAGTAAAAATGACACTTTGACAACCGAATCGGGCACTAAGTGAGCTCCACTCCGTGAGGCAGCCTTGGATCGGGTGTTAGATCGATAAAATATGAGCGGAAAAAGATTTCGGGGAAGGTGTGGGCTCCAATGGAGTTTTTCTCCATTGAAATGGAGCATAGCGCATGAATTACATGCGCATGAAAGACAGTCTAGTTTATTTAAATGCGTATAGCGCATGAATTACATGCGCTATACCTGACTGTCTTTTCACATTCTGGTATAGCGCATGTCTTTGATGCGCTATACTGAGTCTTTGACCGCTTTTCCAAACTAAGGCATAGCGCATGAATTACATGTGCTATACCTTAACGGAGAAACTTGCCGTTAAAGTATAGCGCATGAAATTCATGCACTATGCATAAAAATATTGTCAACTTTTTTCCCCACCTATTTTGGTGTTTTGAGTCTAATTTTGCAACAGTTTGGTTCCGAACTCTCCCAGGAAACCTAAATTCGCCAAAAACACGGCATGATAGTTGGCTCTTCAAATTCATCAAACCTGTCATAACCCATGTTCTTTTAATAGGCTACCTGTCAATGTCATAGACCAAGTTGAAACAACTTTTGCCAGTTCCTGAAGAACAGAAAATCGTTAATCCACATTCCTCAAGAAAAAGACATGAAGATATTCAGAAAACCTGAGCATTTTAGCTAGCGTTTGGACATATATTTGATTGAAACTTGAAAAAAAAACTTTTTAAATCGTGCTGAAAATAATTTTTAGATGTATAAATTGTGTTCGAACATGCATTTTATTTGAAGAAAAATTGAACTACTGCGAGTGAAAGAAAAAATTTCACGCAAAACGGCAGTTTTTAGGAACTTGAAATTTTTTGGGTTTTTTTTCAACACATTGATCATATCCCATAAACAAACAATGTTTTCAAAATTTTTTTGAAAAAATATAGCCAAAATCAATGGCCAAACAGGAGCTTAGAATTTTTGCAACCTAGAGGATGAAGCAAACATAATATTTTTTTTCTTTAAATAACTATAAATAAACCGAAAATAAATGCAATAACTGCAAAAGATCTATGTTTATTATTTGATACTTGCAATGCTCCAATACAAGTACAAACCCTTCAATAGAACATAAGATCATTTACGCTTTATACCATCACTAACAACCCAACAAGTATCCCATAACCAAAAAGCGAGCTATAAACACAAGTTCTGAACCTATGCCTATCCCAATCAAAAATTTACAAAGCCACGGATACAAACTCCTAAATGGTAAGAGAAAATCAAATATGATGACAAAGAGTTCCACATTTTGTGTGATGTTCAGCATGGATAAAATCATTATATATGTGCAATATATCCAATCTGAGAGTCGTATTGAATACTCAGCGCCAAACAGTCTCATTTGCATCGGTAAATATGGCATTGTGATGCTCGATTAAGCACTGAATGGCATCAATAGCACCCAAGTCAATTGGCAGCCCATCATCCAAGGGAATGGGAGAAGATGCATCAACATTTTCACCTTCATCTGGATGCAAAACAATCACAAGTAAAAAATAATAAGTTTCATAGCAGTAGTTTTAAGTTGCAAATAGCAATCTCAAAATGCAATGTTTTTCTCTAAGATAAAATAAAACTTACTCCCAGATATTAGCGTCAAGAGAAAAATATGTCTTAATAAACATAACTTATATGATTAAATTGAAAATGTACTGATTTTTCCAATCTGCACAATGACCTTCCACTCAAAAAACTAGTTCAAGCTGTTAGCATTTCTGGCTTAAATTTGTTCCGAAAAAACTAAGGGATTAAAAATCAATTCTTTACCTACTCTTAATTTATAATAAGGAATTGTAAGTGGAGGCTCCCCCAGCCGAAAATCTGTCCAAAAGAGAAATAAGAAAGGAACATAAATCTACGTATTCTGCCCTGGGGTTCAGAAATCAAAAACCTTCGGAAAAAAAGGCGTTTCTAAGGGCTACACATATTTCAATAGGGAATGTATGTAAAAATCATAGCTCTACGTTGCAGTTGCAGAAGTAGTTCTCTAAAATGCAAAACAAGCTAAATAGCACACAGCTTAAGTCAATCTCTTTGCATAGTCTCTTCCGCAATTCATTTTAGCAGGCAGTTTATGATACTCCTGATATAAATCTTATGATACACATGTTCCAATATTAACTTTCATAACTTTTAGAATTTTCTTCCATTTATTTTTTCAAAATTCTGAGTCAATATATAGCCTATTTGAAGTACCTAATGTATATCTACAGTAGTAAATATCTGTTTAGCAACTGGTCCACTTATATAACTCATTACTGATAGGATGGTATATTGTTTTCCATCACTGGCAATCTTCAGGTGAGGAAGTAGATGCATGCAGTTCTGCCTCTGGACTTCACACATAATACTTTAATTGCCAACTGGTTTCTTGCCAAATTAAACTGGGTCACTAGTCATGACACATCATTATAAAAAGTCTAAGCCTGTCCATAACATAAAAAAGAAATTCAACGCACTAATGTTCAGCATGTTGTTTGGATGTGTGGTTTCAACCCCTCATGTAATATGAGAAACTGTAATAAAGTATAAAGATGAATGAAATATTAAACTCCATCACTAAGAGAACAGAATGGAATAAAACAAAAACAAAAACAAACCTGCAAGCATCTCCCATGCACTAGAGTTCGAGTTGGAGTCGATATATTTCTTTGAAGAAGTTTTTGCTGAATGGTTCCAGAACTGGTTATAATGGTCTGGCCTCTGGCCTCTTTGCCAAATAAGAATTGGAGCCATTTCCGTTGCAAGGCTTCTAGCATCCATCTGCCAGGAAGAAAATATGAGAAGCAGATAAACAGCAGTCAAGAGAACTCACAAATTTGTACAAGATGAAGGCTCATCAGGGACAAGATTTTGGATCTCAATCATCTAGACAAAAAGGAAAAAAAAACAACTGACACATTTGTACAGATGAAGGCTCATTCATAACAAGTTTGTTGGATCTCAATCATGTGGGCAAAAAGCAATAACATAAAGTTCAAAATATGCAGGCTTATCCTAGAAACTAGGCACCTCAATTAGCAAGTTCAAAACCCAAAGAGTTAAAAATTGTATCACATTTTACAATCCTCTACCACACAATTCCTCATCTTAAAAGGAATGGAGGTGTGAATATATCACCGAAAACCATGAGGAAGACAAGGGCACCAAGACAAATTCAAATCCACAGGTCTGCACAAAACCAGATCGACACAGGGAGAGGTGGACGTTATTTTTGTTCATTCAGGAAGTGAATAAACTTGCCTTGTTAACCAGAGATTTCTGGCTTACGCGGAGTAGCAGCGCAGTGATCAATTCCAGTGTCATGTAGTTGACAGTTGGAAGCTTCTTTAAGATATTCTTCATTGTGTGTATGCTTGAGCGTGCACCTCTTATTTCATTATAAAGCTCGAAGGTTGTCAATGGCTCAGGTAGACTTGCAAGGTAGCACTTCATCAGAGCTGCAATCACTACCGGATTTACCCCTTCAGGTATTGGTGCATCTTGATCTGTAACACAAAGTTGCAAACTAAAGAGTAAATAGATTGATCCCTTGATAAATAATATCTGTATGAGATTAAAAACTCAATACCTTGATTGTATAAAGAAACCAACTGATGTATAACCTTTTTATCTCCTTCAGCCTTGAACAACTCAGGTGAATTCAGCCCTAGACCAAAAGTAGACTCCCATAACATCGACATTCAGATGTGTGTTTGAAAAATTACATGACAGTTTGCTGTATGGATTATTACATCTCTCACCTGATAAGACAAGATAATCTGCACTTTTCACCATGATATAAGGAACAGGTCTAGTTGATTGTTGCCTCTGCACCAGGATATCAATGGGGACTCCGAACACTGGATAAACCAAGATATGTCACTATGGCCAGAAAAAACATCTCCTGAGAAACTTTATGGAAGCAAATAATCATATGGCTCATTCCCGCATTCATAACTGTTTAACTGATTTCGACATCTCAAGGATAACTTCCACGGTGTAAAGGTGCTAAAGAAGTGTGACCAAGTATAACAGGCATCTCCTGTTGCAGCGCTCTTACTTCTTGAATGAATCCAAAAAGAATATAGTAATAGAGTGGCAAAGACAAATTAAGCAGAAGAAGTTTATGAGTAGCTGGATACCAATGCAAGCCATCCCACTCCCCATCCGCACCCGCAAAAGAAAAGAGGATCATTAAAATCCTTATAAACATGTTTTACAAAGATCAAGAGAGTAGAAACCTTACCATCAGTGCTCGCAACTCCCTGCAATTTCAAATAGAAAAGTTAAGATTCTTTGAACTCCAAGTCACTGAGGAACTTTGAGAGACAAAACGAAAAAATGAGCAAAAATTGTTATGCACCTTCTGCCACCGCTCTATATCAGTCAGCAAAGTCTTGCTTTTCTTTGCAGTTTTCTTTGCCACCTGAAAAATAAAAATGATTGCATGTTGATGTCAAGTTCAGAATTTATAGCTACTTTGCATATAAGATTCAAAGATATCGTATCATGTGTAGTTTAGGTTTTTAACCACTGTAGAGCAAAATATCATAAGATCTACATCCCTCATCCATTTCTCCTTTACTTCCCTCAAAGATATACAAGACTAAATTCCATACAAGTGCCAAACGTGGCACCTATGGCTGTATAATTTTGACACCAAGATTGTTATCTGAATTAAGTATTTGATGGTGTGGTTTCATATAAGTCTGTGTGCTTTGGAGAAATTGCCAGCCCATAATGATCACTCTAAAGACTGTAGCTGCATGACTGCTTCCATTAAAAACAAAGGAGCACACCAATGAAAGACTGTGTTGTCATCAAGGCTCTAAGGCACACTTTTCCTTGCCAATGAGCGTAATCCTGAATCACTAACCAGTTAATATTTCACTTTATCATTAATTTTCTTCAATTTTCTTTGTCCATATATTTGGTATTCATGCTTATAGATATTAGTCTTGAACTACACATACATATTTGTAGTTTTTCTCCATTTGCGCCTTTCTTCACTAAAGCCCATGTTTTATTTGCGGTTTGCGCTTAAAGTCCCGTCAGACCTTAGAGTTTTTTTGCGCTTTTCGCTTTTGATAACACTGGAAAAGCTTCATCATTCTGTGTCTAATAAGAAGGGTTAAATACAATTTTCTTTTGTGCTTTGAGACGGAAAACCTTCTGCTATTTAAAGGATAGGCTCATGAATCCCATCAGTATCTAACTAAAGTACATCAGTCAATTCTGTACCCAAGAAAATTAAGAGATTCCAGATGGTCCAGAACCTCGAGACTCACAACTCTAGTGGTCATAGCCAGTGATAATAGTTCATTGGCATCACCTTGGGTTCTATAAAAAGGTAATGGCTTCAAAAACCACAATGGTCTTTTAATGGGCATGGCTCTATCGGGAAAAGAAGGAACAAACAATGAGAGCATCACATGTTGATCCTCTGTTGATTATTCACAATTGCATAACATTCCACAGAATTGTTTATGCTTGTAGTACCTCTTCAACTTTTATCTTTCCAACAGCAACCTTATCTTTTGTCTCCAAAAACCCTTTCCTCAAGAAGAAGCTGGTTGTAGCAGCTGCAGTAATAAAGCGCTCCTGCATAGCATGTCTTGTTGATGGCTGCTGCAGGAGCGACCATCGACTTTTGACTGCTGATCCAACTTTCTCAGCAACCTCGCCCACATTTCCCTTTGCATCTTTGGCAACCTCACCAACAAATGATCCTGCAGACTGCCCGGCTTCTTTCAACTTCACCCCTGCATCAAGACTCAATTATTAAACATTCAAAAGCAAAATAAAGGTAGAAACCTGAAGTTTCCAAATGAATTACCCGAAGATTGAAAGAATCCATTAGCTTTCTCTTGCCACTGAGGCGAAATTACTGAAGGCATTGACGTTGAGCCAATTACCTGTTATCGACTGTGAACAGTATCAAATCACCTAAAAGTTAAAGACAACTAGTGGCGTTGATGAAGTTTGTATATCACCAAATGCTTTAGCTCGACTTTTACAACTATACAAATTTTCTAACAAGTCTAGCCAACAATTTTTGCGCCAAAAACAACAAATTGACCTGAAAAAAGCAGTGAAAACCCCAAAATCAAAATATTTTGTTAACCAAACTGGAGTTAGATTTACAAAATAGAACTATCATTAGCTTCCATGAGAAAAATAAGCAATTAATTCTAAAATCCAGCTATCATTAAACCGCGGATCAAAAAAAACAAAAAACAAAAAAGAAGAACGAGTGTAGTCTCAATTCTCAGAAGTCAGAACATGATAGCTCCAATAGATTGTCAAATCATAAAGATAACAAAGTTTCAAAATTGATATCAAATAAATGCAGTATTCAAAAAAGCGAAGTCTAAGTTGACCTCGCTCATCCGTTTCAATTACAAACCCTAGCCTGAACTTAACGATAATTAGACGATAATTAACTCAATTCCAATAATTAACAGGCGATAACATAAAACCAACCAAAAGAACTTCTAATCAATGATCAAAAGATCCAAAACCCTGATTTGAAGATATAAGCGTTAGGGTTTTACCTTTATGAGACGGATTGAAGACTTTGGAAAGGAACGTTGAAGGAGAAAATTAGAAAAAAAGAACGGCGGAAGGAGAAAATATAGTAATGCTAAATTGCTAATAATAAGTTAATTTGCGAAGACTTTTAAGGATGTGATGATTAGTGAGGTAAAAGGCTGGCGGGTCAACTTTTCTACTCTTTCGATACAACCAATAAAATTACGTGGAGTTTTTTGAAAAAAGAGGGGAAAAAAAACGACGGTAGCTAAGTAAACTCCTGCTTCTGGACGCTTCCAACGGACATAACGGCTATGCGCCTCTTTAGCTGATTTCAAATACGATTTACCTTAAAAACTCACTGCCATTTTTGAAACAAACTAGCTTTATTGTAAGTACCATGTATTTCGTGTCAAACAATATAGAATATATATAAAATAATAAATTGGTGCATACATTGAAACAATAGTTGAATTTTAGCTAGCGTTTGATCATAGATCTCAAATTTATTTTGAAAAATCTGATTTGGATGAAGTTTGGTTTGAAGATGAAAATGTGTTTGGACATACGTTTTCAAAATATATTTTCCAACTTTATTTTGGAAAAACATGTATATAATTCCCAAGTTTTGGGATTTCGGCCCATAGCTGATTTTGGGATTTGAGATTTGAGATTTGGGATTTGGCCAAAATATGGGCAAAATTTATGGCCAAACATGAGTTTTGAAAATAAACCCCAAATTTATTTTGGCAAAACTCATGGCCAAACGGGGCCTTAGTATCTTCTAAACATGCAAAGATGGTGATTTTAGTTGAATTAGTTATATAATATGTGTAACTATAAATATGTTATTATAACTATGAGGTATAAATACTTTATGTTGTTGTATCTCGCCTAATATCTTTTTAGAATACAAGTAATATAAATTTGGACTATCAATTGACCAATGACACTAATAGCTTGTTTGGCCAAACTTCTAAAATAAGCTTATTTTGAAAGGTATTTTTCGCAAATATACTTTTTGAAGAAGTAATTTTGGTGAGAAGCAACCTGTGTTTGGTTAATTAATTTGAAAAGTACTTTTGAGTAGTAATTAGTATTTGGCTAAGCTTTGGAAAAATGCTTTTAAGTGTATTTTTCGAAAAAATATTTTCAAAAAAATACTTTTAGGGAGAAGCTATTTTTTTTGCTTCTCGGAAAATTCTTCTGCTCCTACTCAAAATTACTTTTTTCCTTCTAAAAGCTTAGTCAAACACCTTAACATAGAATACTTTTGGTTAAAAAGAAAAAATTTGGCCAAAAGAAGCTTGGCCAAACATGATATAAGTATTTATATGACCTCAGAATTAGTATAATGGTTATTTCATCAAAAATTACTGACTATAAATATTTATCTAATTGTTTATCTTGTAGTGCGCTTCTACATTCCCAAATATATATTTCTTGAAATTCTAATCTATTAAATATTTATAAAACTCTAGTCACTGAATTAGACGGTCTTAACGAAGCTATTCTTTAAAAAAATCTAGATCTTTATACAATCATATTATAAATAATTATTATTTTCCTTAATACTTTAAAAGCTTAAAAAACTAAATAATAATTTAAAGTTCTGAAAAGGAGATCTAATGCATTCCTAATGAAACTTTAAAATTAATAGTAACTTTTTGACATTTGATTTATCATCAAGATTCTAAAACAAATTATGTAGAAAAATGAAGCTAAGCTACTTTTTATAATAAAAGAGACTAAAAATTTAAAAACTTGCTCGACATAAAGAAATTACATGGTATATATTAGAGACTTACATATTTAAACATTGATTTTCTAATATAGAGGAAGGTTTAGTAAACCATATGTATTAGACTATAAATTATAAGTACAATTAATTTTTCATTTCCATGAAGAATAATAAATAAATGCCACGACCCCAAACCATCCCGGTCGTGATGGCGCCTATCACAGTACTAGGCCGGCCGATTCAACACTTATAACACAAAGGTCTTTTTCTTAATTCATTTACTAATAAAAAATAATCACAAATCTGTCGTTTTAATATATCAAAAGAAGCGGAAACAAATAAGCAAAATTATCAAACACTGCCCGATTCCGGTGTCACTAGTCATGAGCCACTAGAATACAACCTGACACTGTCTACTCTATACAAAATGAGTTTGATAAATAAAAATACTAGAAGATAGTGATAAGTCGGGATTTTAACATGTTTTATGCCCCTACTATTTTTGCCTATGCTTTGGTTATAAATTGCTACAAAATAGTCCCAATATGCTCACAAGTTGTGCTTGATTGCAGGTTTGATTGACAAAGTGAAGAAATATCAAAGATCGGCTCAAAAGGAGTGAAACCTGCTCAAGTATCAAAGATTAAGTGAATTGGGGAAAAGAGGGCCTAGTGCGGACCGCGCAAAAGTGAATGCGGCCGCACTAGGAGGTTCAGAGACATGGCTAGTTTGGGCTTAAGGCTACGCGGCCGCGATACTCGTTACGCGGTCCGCGGTGGTGACTTCGCGGCCGCACTACCTTTTTGTGCGGTCCGCGGAGCAGAGGTTCAGAGAGATGTGAAATCCCAAGTGTTAAGCCACGCGTCCGTGGTCAAGCTTGTGCGGACCGCGCCTGTTGCCTTCGCGGCCGCGGTTCAATCCACGCGCTCCGCGGTCCTCAAGATCAGAGAAGCTGAAAGTTGAAGTTAAAGAGCCAGTGCGGCCGCGGTCCTTTTTGTGCGGCCCGCACTGACCCCGCAGGGGTATTTTTGTCCAGTTTTTCCAGCCTAGTATAAATAGAACATTTTACCATTTTTAGGTGATCTTTGGTATCTTCTGACTTCAGACGTGAGCTGCGCCGATTATTGTAGCCATTTTTTGCAGATTATTGTAGTTTCTTCTTAGTAATCAATTAATATACTTAGTTCTTCATCTATTTCTTCAATTTCTGTATCTAGCATGAGTAGCTAAACCCATTAACTAGGGTTGTGGCTCAACCCTAGTGTGGGTAATTTATGGGTGTTGCCATCTAGGGTTAGATTGACTATGGGTGTTTGCTATTTGGGTTGATTTTATGTTTTAATTTCGAATTTGTGGTTGCAAACACTGATTCAAGCTTTGTGGGTTTAACTCCTCTTGAGAAAGAGAGTCTATGACCCAAAAATTGACCCAACAAGGAATTGGGATGGACTCATGAGAAATGACAGTCCCAATTAACGGGTTAAATCTCGAGAGAGTAATCACCCTACTTGAACCCTAGTTGCTTGATCTAATTTGCCTATCCATTTGGTCTCGAAAGAGTCAATTGGGCAAAATCACTCTCTCTACCGAGAGGTGTGAGAGTGGGTAAAATTATGCAACGGTTATAGCATAAGCTCCAATTATGTCAATCGAACCTTAGTAACATCTACCCGTCAATTAGCCACCTAGGTGATGCCACGACCCTAGTGTCATTCTTCCCATTAGATACAACTCTAGCAATTAATTCGTAGTATAATCTAGATTCAACTAGTAGCTTGATAACTATAGTTTATAATTGAAAAACCCAAAAAAGATAAGAAGATCAATTAAGAGCATACATGCACTTCTAGTCTAGATAGATACCCAGCTCCAATTTCTAGCTCCCTGTGGAAATCGATCCCGACTCTCATATCGGGTAAAAGCTATTGCGACCCTCTCTCGCTACTTTTTAGTGGTACAGAGTACGCAGCGATCACTTTTTGGCGCCGTTGCCGGGGAGCTAACGGTCTTGGCTATCTATTTAGTTAGTTTTGTGTGTTGTTCTTCTTTCCTTCTTTGTTACTAATCTGTGTGTGTGATTACTACAAGTACCAAAATGGCTTTAAATGCAAACGACCCTCTTGGAAATGTGCTTGCGGGGGAGGAGGTTGAGGATATTGGAGATGATGAGGTGCCTCTTGTACCTCCAGGACCACGACGAGGCCGCCAGGCCAATGCTAATGACAACGTTCCAGACCCTCCTCCGCCACCTCCAAGAGCGGTTCCTCGGGTGCTACCGAATCAAGGATATGCGAGTGCCATCGTTCCTCCCCGAATCCGAGCGGGGAACTTTCAAATCAAAAATGTCATGTTGACCTTGATCGAGCAATGAGGGTATTTTACGGGCGCCTCCGATCAAAATGCCTACAAGCGCTTGGCAAAAGTATAAGTTTGGGGGGAGAGACGAGGAGTGAAACAAAAGTGGTAAAAGGTACAAAAGCAAAAGAAAAGGAAGGCAATGAAAAAGAGAGAAAAGAAAAAGACAAAAAGAAAGCCCAATGTGAACTAGAATAAAAAGGGATTCAAGGAAAACAAAAGTGAAAAAGGGTGTGGAAAAAAATAGAAAAAGGAGAAATGTTTTGAATTGCATAAGAAAGAGTGACAATGTGTCTCTCTAACCCCTTGGAAGAGGTGAAATGACTCAAAGAGTCAAGTGAATTGTGCCAAATGAATCAAAAGAAGTGCTTAAGGGAAGATTGAACCCACTTGAACAAAAATATATCTTACCCTTACCCAAAAACCTTCACATTGACTCCACAAAAGCCCTATATAATCTTGATTGGGTGACACTCGCATTAGTGGATACTTACATGAGGGTAAAGCATATTGTACTTAGAGCCAGACTTGTGACATTTCCTTGAGAGAGACGAGTGAACTCCCATTAATCTCGGTTTGTGTGCTTATACTCTAAAAGGTGAGGTTTGCTTAGGGAGAGTTGAGGATGTATGAGTTTGGGTTCCACAGCGACTAAAGTAATTGAGAGAGTTCTTTGATGTAATGAGTCAATTCTTGATGCTCTTGTGCCACACTTGATCCACAGTTTCCAAGGTTTGAATGTTAATGATGCATTTGTATTGAGGGCAATTGTTAGTCCCAATTGATGCTTGTTGAGGTTACTTTAGGATAGCTGGAATTACTTGGATTGTCCTTTAAGGGGTGGGTCTTATTTTGTTTGCTTGAGGACAAGCAAAGGTTTAAGTTTGGGGGAGTTGATAAGTCGGGATTTTAACATGTTTTATGCCCCTACTTGCCTATGCTTTGGTTATAAATTGCTACAAAATAGTCCCAATATGCTCACAAGTTGTGCTTGATTGCAGGTTTGATCGACAAAGTGACAAAATGTCAAAGATCGGCTCAAAAGGAGTGAAACCCGCTCAAGTATCAAAGATTAAGTGAATTGAGGAAAAGAGGGCCTAGTGCGGACTGCACAAAAGTGAATGCGGCCGCACTAAGAGGTTCAGAGACATGGCTAGTTTGGGCT